CCATCATTCTCAAATTAGTTAATTTATCTCTTTCCACCTCTAAATTTCCTACTTCTTATAAGAATTCTATTGTTATTCCTATTCTTAAAAACACATCCCTAGATCCTACCTCTTTATCTAATTATAGACCTGTAACTAATATTACTTTCATCTCTAAAATAATAGAAAAAGTTGTTTTTAATCAACTCTCATCCTATTTAGACTTTAACTCTTTGCTACCTGTATCTCAATCTGGTTTCAGACCTGCTCACAGTACTGAAACTTCTTTACTTAAAATACACAATGATATCCTTCTCTCTAGTGACAATAGTAATCTTACTCTTCTTCTTGCTCTTGACTTTTCTTTAGCTTTTGATACTGTTGACCATACTATTCTCTTGAGACTGCTGCATCTTTCTTTTAATATTACTGATTCTTGTCTATCTTGGTTTTCTTCTTATCTCTGTAATCGTTTTTCTTCTGTTGTTCTCAATAATTCTACTTCTAACTCCTCTACTCTTACTTTCGGGGTACCTCAGGGTTCTATCCTTGGCCCTCTTCTATTTATACTCTATACTTCTGAACTACCTCGTATTATTAATAACTTTTCTTTCTCTAGTCAACTATATGCTGATGATTCTTATATTTATACTTCTTTTCCTCCATCTAATCTCAATAGTGTTCTTCATAATTTATCTCTATGTCTTTCTTTGATTATCGCTTGGTCTGATTCTATGTGTCTTAAACTTAATCCTTCTAAGTTTGAATTAATTTGTTTTAATAAATCTAAACACTCAATTACTATTCCTCCTATTATCTTACCTGATTCTAAAACTCTTGATGTCTCTCATAAGTTTCGTAGTCTAGGTTTTATCTTTGATTCTACTATGTCTCTCTCTTCTCAGATTAATAGTGTTGCTAGAAGCTCTTACTTTCATCTACGTAGAATAAAAAAACTTTTGCCTTTTCTTGATGATCCTACTCTTCTCCTTCTTGTTACTTCGTTAGTCTTATCTAGGATTGATTATTGTAACTCGCTCTACTATGGTCTTCCTGACTCTATACTCTATCCTTTAAGTAAAGCTTTTAACTCTGCTGCTCGTCTAGTTGCTCGTGCCCCTTTCTTTTCTCATATATCTCCATATCTTGTTCTCTTGCACTGGCTACCTATAAAATATAGAATAATTTTTAAAATTTGCACGTTCATGTATAAGTCTCAATCTAAATTATTTCCTAAGTACTTATCAGATATATTAATTGAACCTAAACGCTCCGGTTTACGATCGTCTTCTTCTTCTCGCTTTTTCTTAACTCGTGTTAAACACTCTTTTGCCAAATCTGCTTTTGCTTTTTCTGGTCCTTTTCTCTGGAACTCTCTACCTACTTCTCTAACTATTTCTCCATCACTTGCGAAGTTCAGAGCGGATCTCAAGACCCATCTGTTTTCAAAATTCATTGAGGAGCGCTGTTGAACATCGCGGAAATAGCGCTTTATAAGCTAATTGATTGATTGATTGATTGATTGATTTACCTCTTAGTATAAGACTTACTTATGTTATGGCATAAGTCTTATTATGTTCTAAGACACTTGGTAACTAAATTTTTACTTTTAACATTTCATTTATAATTTTTTAAATTAAATTAAAAGATTGGTTGGCGAAATAATCAAACGGTTGGATGATGCCTCCAAGCGTAGAAATGCATTCAAGGATATATTTTCGTCTGAAAATATTTTTTTAAGAGACAGGTTGCTTATTTATTTAATAAACAAATTTTTTTATATAAATTTTATTTAAAATAAATAAGTTAACTAAAATTTCATTATTTTATAATTCTAAATATTAACTTTTCAAATTGAATAATGCTATAATAAAGTATGAAATGGTGTATTAGTGAATGGGCCTGACCCCGCCCTGCTGTAAATGTGTGACTAGGTTTGAATGCAGATTGATTTATTGTTCATTCTGTCGCATGCAATGCGCATGATCAGTAAATTAAAAAGGTAAAATAAAAATAAATTAAATGATAATAATAATCGGCCTATCCAAACCAACTAATCAGACTCCAAGAATATTGTGAAAAATTAATGTTCACATGGCCAATAGAGTATGGTAAAAAAGTGGAAGAGGTCCTCTGGAGAAAAGGATTCTATGAAGTCATACAACTTGTTAGAGCCAATGTCAAGGTGTGTATGTGTGTATGTACGTCTGCATGTATGTATGTATGGGTGTGTGTGTATTATGTACGTACATATATATATGTGGGCTACTATGTAATATGTATGCTTGTTTATAAGTATATTTCAAATGTGATTCATTTCATTATTTATTTCAGTTTGATATTGCTTATTCAAAGAAAAGGTTCTTCATTAATTTTGAGAGCAATTTTTAAATTAATTTTTGAATAATAACATTACTTCTAGGAACTTTCCACAGATGTGAATATCGAGAAGGCTTTCCATAGTCACCTTCTTTCAGCTATTGGATACTACAATCACCTTTTGCTTAAAATTTGCCAAACA